TCCTCCTGTCCACGCTGCAGCAGTTCTTCTAATCGACGGTCCTGTTTCCCTTTTCGACGGGCCTGCTCCTCCTGTCTGGCATGTTCCTGCAGCATCATCATCAGAGCACCTAAGTCAGGTGCTGCAGATGTAGTAACTGCGTCGCCGACGGCTGGCCCTCCGTCGTCTGCGGCGTTGCACCACCAAATCATCTCTGGTCCTTCTCCTACTGGCGTTGACTTCGGATTCGGACACCCTCCGAGTCGTACTTATGTAAAATCGGCATGACTTCATTCCACTTCTGACACCAATTGTTAATATCTTAAGATTCGTGACTATAAAAACTGCCGATTGAATTACCAAAATTGACACTTTAATTACCGAACACTAATAACAATTTAAAACACACTAATAATTAATTACACTGATCACTTTAGTTCGCAGTTATATCGCTTCGATGTATTCTATTGGATGGCTAGTTCAATACTGCCCCGTGTTGCGATCCAAGCCAGCCTTATAGACTTTATAGACCTTTTCCACTGAAACATCTAGTATGTTCGAGCACATACTGGTCCTGACAGACTAAGCGTTGAAAGTTAGCTAGCATGGAAATTTCTAGAATGCTTAGTTCTGTTACTCAATACTAGATGGCGCTGGTGTCGTGTACTAGTCATTAATTATGGCGCGCAACAATATGACATTTCTACTTAATTTTTACAGCATTAAGAGGATGTGAATTTATGATTTTTAGTTATAAAATCGAAGCGACAGTAGCCTAATGGCAGGGCGCGGACCGCGAACTCAAAAAGGTCGTGGGTTCGAATCCACCATTCGACTACTGGCGTGAACCACTCGTAACACAAGCAATTTAAGCTTACAACGAGTGGTTAATAACTACAAACATATATACTAATATTCCCCATATTAGTATATATGTTTATAGCATTTTTAATATTCTTTTTTATAAAAAAAAAAATTAATGAACTTAAATTATGTTCTATTGAGGTGGAAAATATGAAAAACTGTTATGAGACTGAAATAGAGTGTCTCAATTTAGAAGTTTTGTCGCTTAAAAACTCCTTAAAAATTATACTCCTTATAAATATGCATCGGCTCAGGTTGAGATAGAAGAACACATATTGGCCATGAATGATCTGGTAAAGTCATGTAAATACAATGAGGAGCGATTTGACTCCTTAATAAAACATCAGATTAAGAATCAGCGTTCCAAACCATGTTCATCAGGGACAATATGTGTAAATATTAATGACTCCTTTTTTTTCACCAACATTCTATGACGGTGCCATAATAAAGAATAAAAACTTCAAAAGTAATTTTGTGGTGGGTGCCTTGCGGTTGTAGGTAATTGTTTCACGCGGGTAGCAAGAGCAAAAAGCAAAGTTTTTTGCTGCGCATTGCGGTCCAGTGGAGTGGCCTCAGTCGGTCTTCGACATTCGTCTGAACGCGACGCGTGTGGTTGAAAATTTTAATTTTTCAAATTTATGTCATAAAAGTTTGTTCCAATCATTCTCGGTAAACCAAAAAAGTCAAGGTGTGACGTTTCACCGATAAGTACATAAAAAACAATTCGTTTTGTGGTTTAAGATATTTATTGCTCAAAAGAATTATAGTACGAGGGCGGGCAGCCTAGTAAAATTCACTTACATGAGAAATGTACAACACTAACATAATTTTATATTAAACGGCACGACACATAAACAAACTGATAGCAAAATAAAAATACACCATTTTTTTAAAGTCTAAACAAATAATGTTAAAAAGTTATGAGTTCGTAGCAATGATTTCAAAAGGAAGGATAGGCCCATCTAAATATTTTACTCATAACTTTTTTATACAAGAAAAGTAGCGTATCTGTCATAATATAAACGTCATATCAAAACACGAAGTAACCAGGGTCGGATTTCGTAGTATAATTATCCCAATTGTTCCATTATTTCATAGTTAGTAGTACATAGTATCGTAATAATATTAAGCGAAAGTACCATAATTTTACCTAAAGGTTGACTTGTATTATTATTGGGTCCTTTTAGATTTTAAAACTAACCCTACGTTATCAAGTGTTTTTGTATTGTATATGAGTACCGCGTTTTTTAAATAAAATTAGAATTAGCTCCCTTTTTGTTCAAGCGATGCTCAATCTTTGCATTTATGTTGCATTCTTGATACAACAATAATGAGGGGCTACCACGATAAAAACTCTATGCTCCAGAAGCAATCGGTTTGAAAACAAAATTTCTAAATATTTTATGAATCAGATTTTCGGATTCAATTAAGCAGATGTGGCTTCTTTTGTACTCTTTTTGTTTTACTCTTATTGAATATAAAATATATACCAATATTCATAATTTTACTTAGACTAAGTTCTTTAGACAAAAATTAAACAGAAATAAAAATAAAACCGTCAAAAAACGAAACGTATTGATAAACTAGACGTGTGATGCTAAAATTCCGGCACATGGGGAAAAAGAAACATGAAACGTCAAACGTGATATAATTTTTTTAAACCAGTATAATTTTATTTTGCATGTACAATATTTTTGAGGGTTTTACCCTTATTGAATATAAAATTTTAGGTACCAATATTCATAATTTAACTTAGACTAAGTTCTTTAGACAAAAATTAAACAGAAATAAAAATAAAACCGTCAAAAAACGAAACGTATAGATAAACTAGACGTGTGATGCCAAAATTCCGGCACATGGGAAAAAAGAAACATGAAACGTCAAACGTGATATAATTTTTTTTAAATAGTATAATTTTATTTTGCATGTACAATATTTTTGAGGGTCTAAATCCAACCCTGGCCTAATCTTGGTAACGTAACTAAACTAACTGTAAAATAAAACTTTAAAAATGCGTATATAATAATTCAATTGTAACAAAATTGATGTAAGATTATTTACCTATGGCGCGATATTCCATGTTTTTTTTTAAATCTTTGTATCGTAATTTTTGCATTCTTTTACCACGCAACTAGATATATTTATGACAGGCAAATCTGTCCTGCGCGCGCACCACTGTCGACCGATTCGCGTTGGCCCTAAACTGTAATTTTAGGGCCAGCGCAATGGTTCGTTTTAGTTGTGCGGTCGGCCCGGTCCTTACGCTAGTAATATATAAGTCAATGGTACATAGTAAAATAATAAAAGAAGGCCATAAAGATTAAGATAAACATTCAAGACGGTTACTTTATTTGGTTCGATCGCCGAGTGCAAAATTATTCATATACCGACTTTGAGCTTCACTTAAGCGAATTTACGTTGAACAATAGAGACTGGAAGTGATATTATGTATTTTTGATTGAGCGCATTTATTACTTGGTTGGATAGTTAAATGACCTAACGAAATTTAATGCCTATATCTGTATTTATATGTATACTTGTTAAGAAGTCCTTTTTTAATGTTTTGTTTTATTTGGTTTTTTTATTAGTTATTAGTACATACATACATATATATTTAATTATATTTTTATATACATATATACACACATACAAACACACATATATACACACATATAGACACATATTTAAATTACTATATAAGTAAGGCTTATTAATCATAATTTTATTAGATCGAACCTGATATTATGCAAATTTTAAACCAGCTTGATTATGTGTTTAGAAAATAATGTTTTAGTAAGCTTTTAAAGGTTGTCATAGATTTGTCATCCCTTATTTCTTTTGGTAGTTTGTTGTAGATTAAAGCACCTTCATTTAAAATATATTTTTACCGTAGTTAGTACGTGATGTGCGTAGTTTTAATTTTCTGTAAAGTCTTGGTCGTAGTTTTGTTATAGGTTTATTTTTTGTAAAACTTAATTCTGTGTGAATGCTTTTATTTAGTATTTTACGCACTAAAATGCAAGTATAATATTTATATGCTAGTGATATATTCATGATTTTAGTGTCCTTATAAACTTGGGTTGTTGGAGTAAGAAAGTCGTAATTAAATAGTACCTTAATGAGTTTATTCTGTGCTACCTGTATTGTTTCTATATTGTTTTTTGCTGCTGTGTCACAGACTTCTATAAGAAATTCAATATGTGGTTTGACTAATGAATTATAAATAGTGTAACGCACACTACGTGGGAAACATTCGCAGTGCAGTGCAGTGCAGAGAAACCGATTTATATTTAATATTATTTATATGAGACTTAAATGTCATATGATTATCCAACTGAAGACCAAGGTATTTTTCATTATCTACTTTAGAAATTGGTTCACTATTTATTGTGAGAGGCTTACAGTTACCAATTTTTTTATTTTTTGATGTAAAAATTACGTAGTGTGTTTTAGTAATATTTATAGTTAGACGGTTAGATTAAAACCACATATTCAATGTGTTGAGATCTGATTGGGCATCGGTAATCAATTCATCAATTGAATATCCATAGTAAAACAGACTTGTGTCGTCTGCATATAATGTGATATTACCTTTTAATCCTATATCCTTAATATAATTGATGTAAATTAGAAAAAGCAGTGGTCCTAATATGGAACCTCGCGGTACTCCAAAAGTTATTAATTTTGGTTCACTTTGATTAGAGCCAATCTTTACTACTTGATATCTATCGGATAAATATGATGCAAAAATATTCAAAGCAGATCCGGAAATACCCATATGTTTCAATTTACACAGTAACAGTTCATAACTTACTGTATCAAATGCTTTTTTAAGGTCTATAAAAATACCGAGTGCTATTTCTTTTTTCTCTATGCCAACTTTGATTTTTGTGACTAAATCTATTGTAGCTGAAAGAGTGTTCGATTTCGGTCTAAAGCCATATTGTTTATATATATATATATATATATATATGTTCCATATTGTTTATATATATATATATATATATATGTGTCCGTATGTTCATACTGAGAAGCTAGTTGGTAAGAAATATTTTTAGAGTTTTTTGGCTTAATTTTAACTATATTAGGTAAACCTTTGTTGTATTTGAGAGTTAGGTTCATCTCTCCATTGCCCTTACGATGTTTCAACTCTTTCTTTAGGTTTTTTTGTAGAAAGATTGTTGTTGAAGCGTTCGATCTGCGAAAATTTTAATGGGATTCAGTTTTTCATTACTTTTAGAACGTAATACAGAAATAGCTTCTTTTGGAGTCGAGAAACACACTTTGAGTAGGCGTTGCTTGTCTGGCGCATACTTTCCCAGGCGTGTAATACTTTTTGGTTTTGTACAATCGTTTGAGATCTTTTTTAATAAACCAAGTACTTCTCTCTTCTCAGCCTCTTTTCTTTCTTTATAGTCAGATATTTTTGTTTCCATTAATCCAGTTATTATGATATTCTTGCTTCTAACCAATCGATCAGAAAGTTCTGCCATCACAGTTTCTTCTATTGTGTTACTAACAGTTGTTGTGGTAAGTGGATCTATTAGTTTTGTAATTTGAAGGTTTTTTATCTCAGAGTCTAACGTTTCTATTTGTTTATCTTTTTCATTATATTTACTGTACACGTTCTCTATATTACGCTTTATTTTCTCATTTTCGAATCGGAGACTATCTATCTCGGTCTTAAGATCTTTTACATGTTCTTTCAATGAACTTACATCTTTCGATATCCTATTTATGGCTTCCATTTGATTCACGTTAATCGACGTTAGAACTTGCATCATTTCTGCCATTCCCGTTCGTATTTCGCGTAATTCTTTTTTAATGTCTTGATCACCAGTGTATTTCCGCTTACTACGAAATGTAACTTGTGGCGCTGTAGAAACGTGTGGCTGACTCTCCCATCGACAAATTGGGCTGTGAACCACTAAGTCCGGCACCTATGCCACTTCTAGTAGGTGAGCGTATTGGCACCATGTTGACCTGTGGCGCGTGTATTTACTCGCAGCGTACTTAGCAAAGTAATGTCACAACAACGTAGGGGAGTGTATGCCGATTTATTATTAAACGATTAAACGATGACGAACGATTAAACGAACTTAATTCTTAAGTATTAACTTAAGAATTAAGTTCGTTTAAGCGTATTTTATGATTTTTGTAATTACAACCGATAACACGTCCACTTTGTTCAGTGTCACGCACAATCCTCCGTTTTATATCCTTTTGCATTATTTTTCTTACGTACGTTATTTTTCTTAAAGGCACAACCATTTACTATACACTGATCCAATGAGATTGTAGAGGAATTAAAATAAAATGGAATACCAATTTTCTAATAGGGAAAGTTAAAATTACTTTCGTGCGTTCTTTATAGCCAGCTTTAGCTATAATTCTTTTTATTTAGGAAGTTTCAATTAGATAAATCACTCCAACAAGGATTTTCTTTTGAGTTCAAAAGTTATTTAAGTTAAGCAAATGTTTTCTGGAACTTTAGTTTCTCTTTTAATCAGGGTTCTATTTAAATATGAGAAAATTATTAAACTCTGAAAAAGCAAAACATTACACAGACAATCATAAACATTAAACACAAATTACTATATTATTAGTCACAAAGGAATTAAGATCATATCTTAGCATCAGCAGTTACAATAAAAATGAAACCTATTGTCAAAAATATCGTTTACGTGGTAGAGCCACGCTGCAACTATGTTATGGCTGCAGCACGAATGGATTAGCTTGATTGGGAAAGCACCACGCTCTCACAGAATATCAGCGTTAAATGACAGCTCAATGCTGTTGTGTTTCGTATGGTGAGTTTAGAGAACCAGAAACCCCTTTTAATGGAAGTGAAGCATTTCATCCTAGTCCTCGGGGATGGCAACACATATGCATTATGATTCTTTATTGAGAAGAGAAATGTAGATGTTATGGGCCACAGTATACACTTACCATCAGGTGGACTGTGTGCTCGATTGCGATCCTTATTCTATGAAAAATGTAGAGAATTTCCGAATTTCCACAACACAATCCAGACACACATCTCTCCCTACTTTCACCTCTAAATACCTATTTACTTCTTCGTTGTGATTTGAGTATTTCTGTTGTTAAGTTTAAGACATAGATGTTGCTTCAACTTAGACCTCTGGCACTCAAATTATTCAGAATATTCTCCTTGATCGTTTTGAAATGTCAAAGGCGCTGTACCTCAAGCAGCGACACGTAGCGTGATGTCGTGAGTTTTTTGGCTGAAAACAAAGTAAAACAAGAAAAATCCATACCCTTCTGATCGGAACAAAACAGTAACTACACTATTTTGCTACAGAAATAGGTAAGAAGGTGGTACCTAGCCAGACCGGCTCCTAGGCAGAAAAAGAGTTCTACTACTTGGTAAAATTGTTAGAAATTCTTACCTGCCTTTTCTGACTTTGTTTCAATTATAAAGTAGTTTTCAGTGCTTAGAAAATTTGCAACACCGTACGAATTAATTACAAGTTCGTGGAAACTGTGAGCTATGTTTAAAAGATGTTCAAGAAGAACTCGGAAGCCTTACTACTTTATCTCATGGTAGTTCTCATGGCTGTGATAGCAAAAAATCTAGAGTCTAGATCTACAATCGGTATGACTGTACTGTACAGGTAACTGATCAGACAAATCTCCAAATGTGTGCGGCAACATATCTGTGTAATGTGATTGCAGTAGGATGCAATGCATCCCCCCGAATGGGTTCCCGCTTTATCGTGGCATTCTAATCGTGGCTTTGTGGTCGTGGCACCCATGGTGCACTAAGTGGAAACCACATGGCTATAAAAGGCTAGCCTAAGGTGGCCTCTCCAAGTGTGCTTGGCTAGCGCATTTTAATTATGTGTTTAAGTGTTCTCCCCACTACCCCTACAGCTGATTTGGAATCGCGGAAGAAGAGAGAAGCTGGTATAGCGATGTGCCACTTTCTCTATCCTCCGTGACTCTGCTGTTGCCGCACCGTTTATGCGGTGGTGGTGGGGTCACATAGGGAGAGAAATGTCGGTATTGCGTGGAGCCATTCTCCTAATCCTCAACCGCCGAAACTTGGTTGATGGTGGAGCCACGATTTTTAATCTCTGTTAATTTAATAAATCAATAAAAGCTTGAGTCTCCAAAATATCAAGGTTCAAATAAGCGGGCAATCATAACAGATCCAATAATAATTGAAGACGATTCATTTATAGAACACTCGATTACGTTTTAACCAATTTCAAAAAAAAAAATGAGGTTTAATACTCGATTGAATATTTTTTAACAAATATGACGAAGCTTGTTACTTTTAATATTTTTCTTCATAATACAAATAGCTCCGGGTTATATACTAACTCAAAGCGTGTGCAAATTAAATTAAATTATAAGTCATGATAATATTCAATGAAGGAAATAAAAAAATGCTAGAAACAAGTCATTCAGTGGTAAAATTCGTAAGTGCCCATTTACCCAAGTCTGAGTTAATCCATCACCTGCGTGATAATTACGATTCTACGAGTATATACTAAATTATTGTTGTTAAAAATGATTTATAGATTTTTTTTCGAAAGACCAATCTTATGTTACGTCACAATCTTATGGCAAGTCACATTCCAATCATAGTTTTATGGATGTTACACAAATGGGCTCCATCGGAGGACTTGGGAAGGTTCAGGTTCTCATAGAATATCCATAAGGTGGACTGTATGCTCGTTTTCTGTAATATATACCCGTATACACACACACACATACACACACACACACACATATATATATATATATATATATATATATATATATATATATATATATATATATATATATATATAAAAAAATATATATAAAGCAAACCTGACTGACTCATCTATCAACGCACAGCTGGAACTACTTAACGGATATCGCTAAAATTTGGCATAAGTACAGTTGTAATGACATAGGCATCCGTTAAGAGAATTTTTTAAAAATTCGCCCCTAAGGGGGGTGAAAAGTGGTTTAAAAGTTTGTATGGAAGTCCGTCTTAGGTTAAATATTGGAAATAAATAATAACGTGTCCTAGCTAGAGTTTTTGAAAATTCAATCCCTAAGGGGATGAAAAAAGGGTTGAAAGTTTGTATGGGGAAACAAGATTAGTTAAAATATGTTTTATTCGAAACTTCACGGGAGTACTCCTATCAATAAATGAGTAAACAACTAATTCAGAGTCTTTAAGAACTCAACCCTAAAAGGTTAAAAAGGGGTAACAAATTTTGAAAATCAACATGGGTATCGTTTTTACGGTTTATCGGGTCGCTGATTACGGAAACAAAAACTGTTTCAAAATCCAACGTAGCAGACGAAAAATACCTACCATAATCCCCTGTGTTGGTGCAATGTGGTTAAAATGCCAATATGGGTGTCGTTCCATGGTTTTTTTGGGACGTTGATTACGAAAATGGCATCGACTATGGTTTGAAACCAACATGAATGGAAGGATGGATGGATGTATGTTTGTATGTAAAAATCATCATGGGTTGGGTGACTCGTGTGTCATTTTGAAGGTTTTTGGGTCGTAAATAACGTAAATGATATGGATAAATATTTTTAAATTAATTTATTAGAATAGAATAGAATATACTTTTATTACACAAAAACATAAAACAAAATAGACAAGAAAATTAGTATAAAAGCTTTGCACAAAATTACACCTGACCAAAAAAAATACTAATTTAAAAATTAAAAAAAAACAACGAAAATAAGCAACCGAACCAAACATATTTTTTTACAAATTATTAAAATGGCAAAACCACAATAAATTCTTAGGTACCTACCTATTTTGTAATTGATCTTCAAGTTCCAATCCATACCAATAGATGGCGTTGGTATAGTTTAAGGAAGCGGTAACGTAGTGTTTTTTTCGAACTGATATAAAGTGAACGGTGAATGAGCGCTTCAACCTGTACCACATACGGTATTTATTCACTGATAACGGATAACGGACTTTGTTTGCTTGCTTACGGTTTAAGATTTGCTTCATGTTTCGGATTTGTTGCTTGGTTTTGTCTTATTTACAGCCACTGTTCAAACTTGGAATTTGATTTGATTTATATTAGGTAATGTTGATAGAAGTTTATTTCTCACTAAAGAAATAAATATAGAGACTCTTAATATTAAAGGAAAAATGGAAGAACATACTGTCGTCCCCATTATAGGTGACGGCACCTGCTTGTTTCATGCTCTTTTATTTTTAATGTCCTGCACCCAATAAAATGCAACGTTGGTACATTAACAAATTGTTAGATTAGTGGGAAATGATTGGTCTAGGTTTTCAGTTATGACCCACGACAGAAATAGCGATGATTATTCAACAGCAAATGAATATTTAGCCGATATGTGAAAAAATTTAACTTACGGTGGACTTAGTGAGCTGCAGGATTAATATTTCCGTTTCGGTTTGAAGTATATCGAAACGGTCTTCTATACATAGAGTCCGGAACAGATATCTATCCAGTAAGGTGACTACGATATAGTCGTGATTTAACCCGTCAAAGAACGTGATCCTTTTTTCAGAGCCTGACTATTTAACTGTTACATCTTTTATAAACAGTGAAATATCATCTCCAACCCACGGAATAGATCAATATGTATCTATATTTTCCTTTTTTCATTTTTTAAGTTGACATTAAAAAATGAAAAAAGGAAAATAAACGAAGGTTGAGATTTACTAATTACACAATAAAAAGTCAATTAAAAAGTCTACAAGAAAGATATAGGCAGAACAATCCAGATTCAAATCTTAAAGCTGTGTACGCTTATC